CATGTTTCTATGTTATTAATATTGTTTATTATGTCATATTACATGAATGATAGATAAATAAGCTGTAGTTAACATTAGGGAAATTATTAAGGTATTTTCTCGTGCCTGGAATTCCACTGAAACAAATTCCATTTCAATTAATTTAAATGAGGAAAATTGACTCTACAAACGAGCAAATCCAGTTGCGAGCAAGGTCATGGAATGGATTAAACTCGTAAGTAGAGGTTCCACTGTATTAGTATTATAATTAAGGGAACTGGAGCACAGATTCAATTCCCTAGATCAAGAGCCCCTCACAAGCATCAAGAAACCTTGACTCCGGTTAGGGGCTCTTGATCTAGGGAATTGGATCAGTGCTCTAGTTATTTTAATTAATAATAACACTAATAATTATTATTATAATAATGAACGCCGCCAACTCGGTTCACTGTTTACCTCGCTGTGGGAGCAGTTTTTTCATGTTTTGCTTACATTTTTGACAGCAATTTGGCCAAATTTCATTTTTCTAAGCATGGGTCCTAATAAAGTGTAAAGGGCAGTGCTGAGAAGAAAAAGAGAATGATTTCAATGGAATTAAAGCACGAAATCATAGATAAACAAGCGAAGTGTCCAGGTTTTGGGTTGAGGAAGAAGAGGGGGGACTGGCTTGTAACTCAAATGTTGGCTCGTAACTCATAGCAACAAAATCAACCCAGGGACAGCTCGCATTTCAAAAAACTTGTACATTGGGACACTCATAAGTCAAGGTTCCACTGTGTGTGTGTGTGTGTGTGTGTGTGTGTGTGTGTGTGTGTGTGTGTGTGTGTGTGTGTGTGTGTGTGTGTGTGTGTGTGTGTGTGTACTCACCTATTTGTACTCACCTATTTGTGGTTGCAGGGGTCGAGTCTTAGCTCCTGGCCCCGCCTCTTCACCGGTTGCTACTGGGCCCTCTCTCTCCCCGCTCCATGAGCTTTATCAAACCTCGTCTTAAAACTGTGTATGGTTCCTGCCTCCACTACGTCATTTTCTAGGCTATTCCACTGCCTTACAACTCTATGACTGAAGAAATACTTCCTACTATCTCTCTGACTCATTTGTGTCTTCAACTTCCAATTGTGGCCTCTTGTTTCTGTGTCCCCTCCCTGGAACATCCTGTCTTTGTCCACCTTGTCTATTCCACGCAGTATTTTATATGTCGTTATCAAGTCTCCCCTGACCCTCCTGTCCTCCAGTGTCATCAGGCCGATTTCCCTTAATCTTTCCTCATAGGACATTCCCCTTAGCTCTGGAACTAACCTTGTCGCAAACCTTTGTACTTTCTCTAGTTTCTTGACATGCTTTATCAAGTGCGGGTTCCAAACAGGTGCTGCATACTCCAGTATGGGCCTGACATACACGGTGTACAGTGTCTTGAATGATTCCTTACTAAGGTATCGGAATGCTGTTCTCAGGTTTGCCAGGCGCCCATATGCTGCAGCAGTTATCTGATTGATGTGTGCTTCCGGAGACATGCTCGGTGTATATACTCACCCCAAGATCTTTCTCCTTGAGTGAGGTTTGCAGTCTTTGGCCACCTAGCCTATACTCTGTCTGTGGTCTTCTGTGCCCTTCCCCTATCTTCATGACTTTGCATTTGGCAGGATTAAATTCGAGAAGCCATTTGCTGGACCAGGTGTCCAGTCTGTCCAGGTCTCTTTGAAGTCCTGCCTGGTCCTCATCAGATTTAATTCTCCTCATTAACTTCACATCATCTGCAAACAGGGACACTTCTGAGTCTAACCCTTCCGTCATGTCGTTCACACATACCAAAAATAGCACTGGTCCTAGGACCGACCCCTGTGGGACCCCGCTCGTCACAGGTGCCCACTGTGATACATCATTACGTACCATGACTCGTTGTTGCCTCCCTGTCAGGTATTCTCTGATCCATTGCAGTGCCCTTCCTGTTATATGCACCTGATGCTCTAGCTTCTGCACTAATCTCTTGTGAGGAACTGTGTCAAAGGCCTTCTTGCAGTCCAAGAAGATGCAATCAACCCACCCCTCTCTCTCGTGTCTTACTTCTGTTATTTTATCATAAAACTCCAGAAGGTTTGTGACACAGGATTTGCCTTCCGTGAATCCGTACTGGTTGGCATTTATACTCTTGTTCCGTTCCAGGTGCTCCACCACTCTCCTCCTGATAATCTTCTCCATAATTTTGCATACTATACACGTCAATGACACAGGTCTATAGTTTAGTGCCTCTTTTCTGTCTCCTTTTTTAAAAATTGTGTGTGTGTGTGTGTGTGTGTGTGTGTGTGTGTGTGTGTGTGTGTGTGTGTGTGTGTGTGTGTGTGTGTGTGTTTTATGCCGGATTTGTAAAACTTGCGATCTTGGCTTAATTAGCAACACTCATCTTGCCATACAAGACATGCGAAAATTTGTGTATGCAATAATTTCGCAAAAATCATTCTGAACCTAACGAGAAAAATATATTTCACTGTGTATGTTTAGTATAAAATTATTGTAAACATATCTAAAATATATTAAGATGGATTGGGCTAAAATGAATTGTGCTTGTTATAATAAGGTTAGGTAAGTTTTCTACGATTATTCTGGTGCAAAATTATAAATTTTTACATTAACATTAATGAAAAAAACATACCTTTAAACACACAAGAGAAAATTTTAGAAAGGACTTAATTTTAAGCGAGTTCTTGCTAACTGAACCGTTTAACCTATTAGGCACAATTATATATATATATATATATATATATATATATATATATATATATATATATATACAGGAGGGCCCCACTTATATGGCGGGTTAGGTTCCAGGCTACCGCCGTAAAGCGGAAACCGCCGTAAAGTGGAACACCCTTTTTTTCCACTTACAAATGCATACAAACACTAGATAACAAGTTTACACTAACATATATTAAGTTAGCAATAGAACCAGGCATCAAAAAACAATAAAAAAGTACAATACACACACAGTGCACTCATTACTTACCTTAAAATATTTATAGTCTTAATCTAGGGTGAGACAAGTAGTATTTATTGTAAGAAATCAAGTGTGGTATGTATGGTGTCAGCCAGGCTACGATACCAGGCCACCCCACCCACACATACTATTCTATGATATTTAAGCATCCCAGAGCGATAAAATGTATATACAGTTCACTCATTACTTACCTTAAAATATTTGTAGTCTTAATGTAGGGTCAGGAG